GCTCTAAGCCGCAGCCGCCCTCAATGAAAGCTGCCCAGAGCATGACGGGTTTAGAAGCCGTGGAGGACGCCGGGGGGATCTACAGGAAGAAGGGTCATTTGAACGAGCGAGCTTTCTCGTACAGCATTAGACAGGAACACAGAAGTCGATCGCACGGCTCACTCGCCAACCTGAAGTTCGCTGCTCCGCCTGAGGTGAGTGTGAACATGATAAGTTAAGACACAAATATTTTGCTTGAACTTGGGTACGTGAAATCCAATACAGAATACATCGCATTCGGCATTAAATTACAGACTACACACGTTGGTAAAATGTCAACAATCTTGCGTTTTATTCACTGTTAATTTTTTGTATGCTAACGAATTGGTTACGTGTTTTATGTTTTGACGATCTTGAAAATTAGATTTATTTTGCGAACGCATTTATTGTAAAGGTAATCCTTGAGGTTTAATTATGATAGTATTTATTAAAACGTTATTTTACAAGCGGTAGGTATATAAAAAACTCCTATTTTAACTCTAAGAAGCAACAAAAAAAACTATGGTCATAAAAACTTTACCGTTTAATATTTTTTTGTAGTTATATTAATTTTTATTTATAAATATTTGTTCGCGTACTGACGATTTCACTTAACGTCTTTCGCAAAGAGGGATAAAATTGTGTAATTTACAACCGCGAAGGCGGACTATTAAAAAGGTCTTTAGGCGTCAGGGTCATTCTGTTGCGGAATTGATTATTTATTCTCTGTGGCATCATCGCCGGTCAATTTGTATGTTACGGCTATTATTTCAATACGATGTTTACGTTCTAATGTAGCATCGTTCATTTGTAAACGTTTTTTGTATTACAAATTGAAAGTGAGTTTGTTAACTGAAACGAAACGTTTTTCTATAAGGAAATTTAAATTACAATCAGTACAAATTACATTAAGGGCCTGTCCCACCAAATTGTAAATTGTCTGATAACAATCCAACGTGTATATGTGATGGAAATATCGTTTTTTTTTTACCTTATCTGTGACGTCATTTTTAAGCATAGCGTCTATCAGCCAGTGGTGGGACAAGCCCTAAGTCTTAAATGTTAGTGGTTAGAGAATTTATTTCTTTGAAAACAAAAATGATCTAAAACAATGTATCTTGATAAGAATATTATTCAGAGCTTCATTATATACAATTATTTCTCGCAATATAATGTTTAATCGAATTAAAACGTTCACCATGTGTAAGGACAGATATTCGTGTTCAACATTTCTAACGGGTTTGACACGGTATGACGTCGCAATCGACATAACCGCAAATCAAGTCAATCTAAACCGATGACCAACACCCGATACTTTTCTCGATCGTAATTAAAATTTCACCCAAGGAATAGTTAAAAACATTAAAACATTGAATGAAACAGTCTTAACACAGTTAAGATTGAATGTGGATGGCTACAAATGCAGAGGAAGACAGAAGGTGTGGATGGATTGTGTGAAAGAGGATATGCTTAAGAAAGGAGTGTATTCAGATACGACGGCTGATAGAGATGTATGGAAGAGCAGCACTTACTGTGCCGACCCTCCGTAAGGGATAAGGGCAAGTGGATGATGATGACAGAATAAAACAAAGACGCTTTCCTTTGTCTGTTCTTTTGTATACATCTTAAAAAATACGCAACTGATTTTATGCAGTTTTATTTAAAATGGTTTATATCTAATTTATAAATAGTTCAATAATTACTCTTCCTATTCTATATTTGGAAAAACAATGAATTTAACAAAACCCTTGTTTTCTCTTTGTTTGTTTATTTTCTTAGAAATAACCGGCATTGTTTTTATTAGCACTTATTAGAGTTTATTTTTTTCCATTTCAATGGGTTTTTATTTCATCTTCCGTATTTGTGAATGGTTATAAAATTATAACGTGATATAATATGAGCATATATCGTGATATTTTAAGATTAGTGTCAAAATTATGTTGAAATCGTGAAAGTTGTAACAAGGCCTGTCTTTTAGTTATTTATATATTGCATGATAATAGTTAATTTAATAAAAAATATCTTGACACCGTTTCTATATATAATATTATATTATAATTTGTTTTTTGTAAGTTCTTTTTCAATGTATAACGAGATTTCTTTTGTTCCTCCAAGTTATGGTTAGGGATGGCGGGGACGTATTCGTAACTTCATCGATATTTGTATGAGATTTGTAGGTGAACTAATATCTCAAAAGTATCTTATTTTGTCACATTCGTTTCGTATAAAACGTTCCCACTACTCGAGATAATCCCTCTGAAATATGATTAATAATCTTGATAGACTCAGGAGACGCACATAAAGAGGACATTTTCCCTTCCTATGCATCTCCTCCACCGTCAAACCCACTTTTGTTTCCCATCCTTTCCTCTTAAGAAAAGGTTGGAAAGGAACCGGATTAAAATTATTTCTCCGGCACCACACCAGACGAAACGCGGAATTGCTTCCACTTCACGTCTGTTTTCTGTGTGGTCGTGGTATGACACCGGGCGAGAAAACCCCTTCGTGCGAAGATGTTAAAGCGGGCTCTACCGCTGTTAATATGCCAACATAATTGAACATTCCAAAGAACTGTGAAGCTATTTGATAAATTAGCTAATAATCTTATATATAATTAAGCTAAATGTATGAAGTAACCGGTAAACTCAATACGGATAAGTCAATAATTATGTATGTCCACATCGCAGTTACGTAAGACTCGAGGAAAATTCTTGGTAGTAAATTGCACATGAAGGAAAATTCTCGATTGAATTTAATCATGATAAAATTAGTAATTTTATATAGTATTCTTAGTATGAATATGTTAAAATAAAGAGATTGAGTAGATACAAAAAGAGGTCTTATGAAATAAGCAAAAATGTGACGATCTTTCGACCAAATTAGAATTTAACATTAGGTGGGATTGTGGTCTGGTTGGCTTATCTATATCTATACTAATATTATAAAGAGGAAAGATTTGTATTTTTGTATGGATTGAAGTAATTGAAAAACTACTGGGCCGATTTTAATAATTCTTTTACCATTAGAAACGTAATTTATCTGCGAGTAACGTAATTTAAAATACATTTCAATTTCACGCGGACGTAGTCGCGAGCAACAGCTAGTATATCGATATTTTTTGTGTTGATCAAAATTCAATATCTAAAATTAATTATTACCTATTTTGTGACCAAATCAAATTTGTTTGATAATTTTCTCGAATGTTTGCATGCAATAGGAAGGATGTTGTTCAATCAATATCCTGTGATAGGAAACGTGAATTCTAAAGCATCTCCGTTAGTAGAAAACGTTGTTTGTTATTTTGTTTATTATCCAAATATCCTATACATGATTTCTATACATTTGCGGTAAACTAGTAAGGTTGACAAAGGCCTAACTCACTCCTGACTTAGTGCTCCGAGCTTCTTAATGGGGACGTATGTATAGTGGACAGATAATATTGGTCATTATTGGTCAGTAGCGTTTATCTGCCACCATTGGACATAGGCCACTTGTTAAATCATACTAATATTATAAATGCGAAAGTTTAGATGGATGGATGGATGTTTGTAACCTACTTAGCTGAACGGATTTCGATGAACTTTGGTATAGATGAACACATGGGCTACTCACTTTTGTTTTTTTAAATTCACGCATACGGAGTCGCGGGCGGAAGCTAGTACTTCATAAGTTAAAACAAATTCTTGCAACGCGTTGAACTCTAATATTTCGGCAATATCTCGTTGAAGTCTTTTGTACTGTCAGAAATTGTGTTACATATTTCTAAATTAATTGCTCACATACCGTTTTTATGATCATATAACAGTTTATATTTATAATAATTACGACTAAACCAGGTTTCTTTGTAAAGGTATTTATAGTTTTTTTTTTGTTATTTCTTATGGATGACGTGTGGAGGAATATACTAACTTAGTTAACTTCATGTGGACAAAATTACTTGCGATAGTTAGCCCCAATAAAACATACTGAGAATATTATTACTACAAATAAAACAATACTATACTAGTTGTTTTACTATCTTATTCTTACTAATATTATAATTGTGAAAGTTTAGATGGATGGATGTTTGTTAGAGTTTGTTTCCTACACTGCTGTACGGATCACGATGAAATTTGGCATAGATTCAAAGGTTAGTCTGGAAGGACACGTAGGCTATTCATTTTTGTAGTTTTTTAATTCTACGCGGACGGAGTCGCGGTCGCAAGTTATTACTATAACAGTATGGCAATTTATAAGTTTGTCACGCTTCTGTCTTATCTGTGACACAGTTAGGTAAAATAATCGTGCCTGAGACGTGTGACTATAGGTACTGCACGTATCATTGTAAGTCTAGTGTTAGTTTTGATGACACGTTCATATGAGTAGAGAAAACATAATAAGTACTAAAGATTTATGACTTGCAATTACAGAATAGTGAATGGAATTATATAATTGGAATAGTGTATCGTACTAATTAATTTCATATGTTTTAAGCGGAGGAAATCTAGGGATGTATTCAAGGAAGATTTGAGTCCTTGCTATGAAAACTCAAACAAGGTTGTACAAAAAACTTAAGCAAACTAGCCTGTTACTCGCGACTTCGTCCCCAAGAAATAAAAAATATGTTACACATTGATGACGTAGCTTTTTATTAGTAAAACATTTTATAAAATCGGCCCAGTTTTTTGAGTTATTCCAATACATACAAATATATAACTCTTTCCTCTTTATAATAGTATAGATATAATATCAATCAGCGGATGTTTTAAAATTAGTGTTTAACTACATTTTTGGAGTAAGCTAACTAAGCTTTTAATAATATATTTTTCTTAAAACTTATTTGTATAGAAATGTGTAATATTATATGTTCTGCGTGATTATATATTTTACCTATGTGTGTGTTATCGAAGCGGGTCTTTCGTAGGAATGCGGCAAAACATGGCGGAGAGGTTTATCCGTTCATTTAAATAATGAAGCAGGTGCGTGATAACTACGTAGGCTTGGGTTGAAGCTTAAAATAGATTGTTTTTTGCAAAATCAATTTAAGCGACGATAGCTCAGGGCTTAAAACCCTTGATTTGCAATTTAAGGGTCCTGGATTCGAATCCTGCCATGTACCAAAGTGTTTTTCAATTTTTTTGACCGACTTCCCAAAAGAAGGAGGTACTCAATTCGTCTGCATGTTTTTTTATGTGTG